TATATATATATATATATATAGGGTGGCCTTCAAGTAGGAACCACTTAATAGGTGAGAACATAAGAACCCATCCCAGCCTTTGGATCTAAGTCAATTAATCATTAATATAAAAGATTCAAAAGGTTTTAAGGGTAATTTTAGCCCCCTAATAATTTTGACTTAAATAATAAAATTGATTACATCTCTAGAATTTAGGCCAACAAGAAGGAATTCACTGGGACTCTAATTTAACGATTCATTGGGACTCTAATTCAACGATCTCCACATCCACTCCAGGGCTACTCACGACCGTCGCCTGCGAATTACGGACAGTGCATCCGACATCGGCAAACTACGTGAAACGACCAAGAAACTCACCGGAGAGAATGGCGGCAACAAACAACAACGAAAGTAAGTCCACTGAAATTCCATTACGGTGTTTGTCATCTGATTGTTGAATTAAATTGAATTTGGACTGCTGAATTCTGTTATGCAAGCCGGCAGATGAGTGGAACTGCACACCCTGAGGCACTAAAGTGCACAGACGGAAACCGCCACCCCTTGCTGTGTGCCGGCTAATTTTAATGTACAATTCCGGAGCATTGTATGTACCCTACGCTCGTAATTACAGAGTAGCATGTGTGCACCTATGTGCTCAGGTACGTGCCAAATAGGGATGAAACCCAAATCTCTGCTCTCGATGCAGCGTGTGTGCCTCTACGTGTTCTCGAATGTGCCAAACTGGTCAAATGCAACCACCAAGAAAATAGAAAATTCTATACGGAAACACTAATAAGGAACATATTCACCGTGCATACCCACATGAACTAGGCTAGTACGCTAATAAAGGAACAGAGATAATAGTGTGCACCCGAGAATACACGTGTGTGCCAATATGACAAATGCAACCACCAAGAATTGTTAATACTAGAACATGTGCACTGGATACCAAACTTGTGTGCCATAACGTGCTGTATAGTTGTAGCCACACCCTATGTGCACGCACCGTCAACAGTATGTGCCATTCTGGCCAGACCGTGCCAAAGCGGCCAAAACTACAGTTGTTGTGCTATTGTGTAAAACTACGTGTACCAGAGTGGTCGGTGGGACTGGCCAAAACAACCACCATTCATAAATGAAGAGTAAGCACCCAGAAAAATAGAAAATTCCTATACGAAAACACTAATAAGGAACATATTCACCGCGCATACCCACATGACCGAGGCTGATACGCTAATCAAGGAACAGAGGTAATAGTGTGCACACGAGAATACACCGATGTGCCAATCTGCCAAATGCAACCACCAAGGATGAGGAAAGCTAATTCAAAATTCAATTGAACAATCATAATCTGGATACAATGCAATAGGAAAAGCTAACGTAGAGATCCCTATCTATCAGGATAGTCAAAGTAGACTAACTCTCTACCACACAAATAATACCTATAGAATACAATAATAATGTGACAAATAATAACTCTACTAATACACCCCCTCAAGCACAAGGGTGATGTAAAACAACGTTGAGCTTGTCACGTAGCAAAGCAAATCGCGGCCCTGGCAGAGGTTTGGTGAAGATGTCCGCTATCTGGTCTTTCGATGACACAAAGCTGACGACGAAGTCCCCTGAAGCTACATTGTCCCGAACAAAATGAAAGTCTATTTCGACATGCTTCGTCCTTGCGTGAAAGACGGGGTGGCGCAGAGATATGTAGCGCCCAGATTATCACACCATAGAGTTGCCGGTTCACCACTATGCAACCCCAGCTCACGTAGTAAGGATATCACCCAGGTTACCTCCGCCGAGACATCGGCTAGGGCCTTGTACTCTGCCTCAGTCGACGAGCGCGCAACAGTGCGTTGCTTCCTGGATAACCAAGAGATAAGATTGGACCCCAAATAAACAGCGTACCCACTGGTACTCTTCCTATCAGTCGGACAGCCTGCCCAGTCTGAGTCTGAATAGGCATGTATCGAAGTAGACGACGACGGTGAAAGACGTAAACCATAGTCGAGTGTGCCTTTAATATAGCGCAGCACCCGCTTCAATAAGACCCAGTGATCATCAGTCGGGGAGTGCATGTACTGACATAAGCGATTTACTGAGAAAGAAAGATCCGGACGGGTGATGGTGAGATACTGCAAAGCACCGACTAGGCGTCGATATTGCGTCGGGTTCTCATACGGTTGTGGTGATGGTGTAACGGCTTGCGTGACTGCAGCTGGAGTGGCCAAAGCTTTGCAGTCGGTCATACCTGCCCTGTGTAAAATATCTCCCATATAACGACGCTGCGATAGTATAATCCCACCATTTTCCTGCACCGTTTCAATCCCAAGGAAAAAACTAGGTGTGCCAAGATCCCGGATTTTAAAAGTTGCTGCTAATCGGTGTAGTAAGGCATCAATGAGGGTTGCATCACTGCCCATCATGATGATGTCGTCGACATAAACAAGGAGAAAAACCCGGGATGAGCCCGCTGTGTAGTGAAAAAGGGACACATCTGTCTTGGAAGGTGAAAAACCTGCAGAAACCAGGTAATCATGTAGGCACTTGAACTAGGCGCGGGGTGCTTGCTTCAGACCATACAACGACCGTTGCAAATGACATACATGCCCTGGATGAGCAGGGTCTTCATAACCCGGTGGTTGTTTCATATAAACAGTCTCCACTAAGTGCCCATTTAGGAAGGCATTATGGACATCCAGCTGACGGAGTGTCCAGCCTTGTGAGACGGCCACGGAAAAGAGCAAACGAACCGTGGTAGGTTTGACGACAGGGCTATAAGTTTCAAAGAAATCTTCGCCCTCCACCTGGTTGAACCCTTTGGCTACTAACCGGGCTTTATAGTGCTCTACCTTACCGTCTGCAGTGCGCTTGGTACGGTAGACCCATTTGCACCCGATAATATTCATATGTGGTTCAGCGGGAATAAGCCGCCACGTGTTGTTATGTATAAGAGCATTGAACTCCTGATCCATGGCATCACGCCACTGTGAGTGCCCTACAGCTTGCGAATAACATGTCGGGTCAGTAGATGTAGTTAGGGCCTGAAAGGGTTCATTCGTGCCACGGGTCTGATGACGCAGACGCATGACATGATCCCGCTCCTGCGGTTGCGCTCGGGCGCGACCCCATCCCCGGCCCCGCCGAGCAACCGGGGCCTCTAATGCAAGAGGCTGCGGTTCCTGTGCCAATGGAGTGGGCTCACGAACAACTGGGCCAGGACCCTGAGTTGGGCCTGGCGGTAAAACATGGGGCACAATGGGCCTTGCTGCCCATGGTAGAGGTGCGGACTCGGATAAAATCCGTGATTGTTGTTCTGCAAAGGGAAACACACTTTCGTCAAATCTGACATGGCGGCAGATATAGATTTTCTCAGTTGTTAGGTCCATGCACCTATATCCCCTAAAGGACGGGGGGTAACCTAGGAATACACATGGGCCGAGCGGTACTCTATCTTGTGGCGATTATAAGGCCGTAGATGAGGGTAACACCGGCACCCAAAGACACGAAGAAATGTGTATGGGGGCGGCTTTTTGTGTAACATAGTATATGGGTTTTGGAATTGTAACACAGATGACGGTAAATAGTTAATTAGAGTTGTGGCAGTTTCGAAGGCATAGTCCCAGTATTCTTGAGGTACTGAGGCCTTGGCTAGTAGAGCTAACCCGGTTTCAATAATATGCCGATTACGGCGCTCTACCTTGCCGTTTTGTTCATGCGTGTAAGCGCAGGACTGCCTGTGGACAATTCCCAAGGAGTCGAATGTTTTATGTAATTTTAGATATTCCGCTCCTAAATCTGATTGAATCGACTTGATAGAACGCGAAAATTGGCGTTCTACCATGACTCGGAAAGACTCGAAAATTTTATAGATGTCTGATTTTACCCGTAAGGGATAAAACCAGCTGAACCGCGAGTAATCGTCTACAAATAAAATAAAATAACGATAACCGCAAGACGAAATAACGGGCGCTGGGCCCCAAATATCTGTGTACAGCAGGTCTAATACATTTTGGCTAGAAGAAACTACTCTATCTAGAGGAAAACGAGCAGATTTCCCAAGATGACAAGCTGTGCACGATTTTGACTGAGATGATTTATTATCAACGACCGGACAGTCCCGTAGGACACGACTTTGGACTTGACGATGCGGGTGACCCAACCTGCGGTGCCACACCCCGGGAGTGGCCCGGGAGCTTATGAATGCAAAAAAAGGTTGTGACACTAGGAGTTTGTACAGACCACCCGTGACTGGTCCCCTAAGCAGAGTCTCCTTGGTTATGGAATCCTTCACAATAATGAAATTTTTGTGAAATTCAAAGAAAACATCGTTTTCATTAGTAAATCGATGTACCGATAACAAAGGAACTGACAATTTAGGGACGTGTAGAATATTAGATAATGACAGTGTTTTAAACTTAGATGGTATAGATGCATGGCCAACATTAGAGATCACCAAACCTTCCCCATTACCAACTCTTAGCACATCATTGCCGCTGTACTCCTCGGCTTGTTGAAGCATGGATGCGTCCGGCGTAGCATGAGCGGTTGCACCGGTGTCCGGGAACCAAGAGCCACCGGAGTTTGCCGCCGTCTCTCCACTGCTAACAACAAGATTGGCCTGAGCTGGAGGTTGAGTTGTGTATCTTTTAAAACAGAACACTGTAGTGTGCCCGTGGCTGCGACAAATTTGACACCGCGGCTGTCCGCGACCACGTCCAGAATTGCCACGGCCACGCCCTTGTCGTCCGCGGCCACCACCAGAATTGCCACGGCCGGAATTTCCACCAGGATTGCCGTCTGCCTGCCCCTGTCTGTTCTGTCCCCGCGAGACATACAAGGCCGCCGGTGAACCTGGATCATTACCTGCCGGGTAGTCATCGGAGAAGATGAACTCCTGCGTCTGCAGGTAATCGGCGAGCTCCGGAATTGAGACCGGCGTACCAGTCACAGTGAGCGATGCTGCCACCGCACGGAACTCTGGACGGAGACCTCTGAACACGTACATGTTCTGCTCATCAAGGGATAGAGGCCGGCCGGCCAATGCCAGAGCTTCGACGATGAGTTGTGCACGCCCAAGGTATTCCGCCGGAGACTGGTTTCCTTGCCGCAACGAATGAAATTGGCCGATAAAGGTTTAAGCACCGAGCACGCTTCGACGAGCCAAGAGCAGCAGTAATGGAGTCCCATACTGCCTTCGAAGTTGTCCGACCAACAGCTAGGTACATCACTTCATCCGATAGCGAGGAGATGAGGAGCGACAGGATTGATTGATCCTGTTGCATCCAAGCTTGGTGCGCCGGATTGGGACCGGAAGTCGCGGGCATGACTGCTGTGTCACCGGAGGTTGGAGCCGTGTCAATGGTGGCCGGTGGGCACGGTGTTCCGCCATCAACATAGCCCAAAAGCCCTTGGCCTCGGAGAAAAGGAACCAATTGGGTTCGCCAGAAAAGAAAGTTGCGTGCGTTTAGCTTAATGGAAACGAAGTGGTGGGCACTCGACAGGGTGTTTTGGGTGGCCGGAGCGGAGACGGGAGAGGCAGTTACCGTCCGCTCGGAGGAGTTGGTAGACATGTCGATCGGAGGTGAGAGGCGATCGGAAGTTGTTTGAGGGAAAATAGGAAGAGTGGATCGCTGGCTAACTGATACCAGATGAGGAAAGCTAATTCAAAATTCAATTGAACAATCATAATCTGAATACAATACAATAGGAAAAGCTAACGTAGAGATCCCTATCTATCAGGATAGTCAAAGTAGACTAACTCTCTACACACAAATAATACCTATAGAATACAATAATAATGTGACAAATAATAACTCTACTAATACCAAGAATTGTTAATACTAGAACGTATGCACTGGATACCATACTTGTGTGTCATCACGTGCTGTATATTTGTAGCCACGCCCTAAGTGCACACACATTCAACAGTATGTGCCATTCTGGTCAGACCGTGCCAAAGCAGCCGTTACGGCCAAAACTAAAGTTGTTGTGCTCTTGCACAAAACTACGTGAGTGATCGGTCGGACTGGCCAAAACAACCACCACTCATAAATGAAGAGTAAGCACCCAGAAAAATAGAAAATTCTATACAGAAACACTAATAAGGAACATATTCACCGCGCATACCCACATGACCGAGGCTGATACGCTAATCAAGGAACAGAGATAATAGTGTGCACACGAGAACACACGTGTGTGCCAATCTGCCAAATGCAACCACCAAGGATTGTTAATACTAGAACGTGTGCACTAGATACCAAACTTGTTTGCCATCACGACTGATGTATAGTTGTAGCCACACCCTATGTGCACGCACATTCAACCATATGTGCCATTCTGGTCACACCATGCCAAATCGGTCGTTACGGCCAAAACTATAGTTGTTGTGCTCTTGCGTAAACCTACATGTGCCAGGGTGGTCGGTACGACTGGACAAAAAAACCACCACTCATAAATGAAGAGCTAGGATGATATGCTAATCAAGAAACAGAGATAATAGTGTGCACACGGGAATACATGTGTGTGCCATTCTGCCAAATGCAACTACCAAGAATGGTTAATACTAGCACGTGTGCACAAGAACACCAAATTGTGTGCCATTATGTGCTGTACAGTAGTAGCTATGCCCTGAGGTGCACGCATGTTGGACAGTATGTGCCAGTATGTTTTGACTGAGCCACAACAGTTCTTCAGAGAAACATTTAGTTGGTATACACATGAGTTCAAATAATGTACAAGCATGAAGTGTTCTGACTAGTGTCATAGCACGGATGGTGCACTCAAGCTCATGTGCACTGGGTTAACAATTTGTGTGCCATCATGTATCGGCAGAATCAACCAACACTCGTAACGGAAAAATAGACACAGGAAAACAATATAAATTAAAATAGGCCACGATAACAAAAAACATATTCACCGAACATAACCAAGGGAACTAAACTAAACTACTAATCAACTCGTTGTTAAGAAACATAAAGCATAAACTATCTTTATTTGATTGGATCATGGTATTGGACTACACTCCGAATGTTCTTCGAATGGTGAGCGTTAATCTCATTCGCCAAAATTTGCTGCATATAAGACATCCTCAACAAATCAAGACCCCTAGTATCACCCCTCTGTAGACCACAATCCCATGCATTCACCGATTGGCCCAAAAAAGACTCCATATGTCGCATTGCAAATACCCCACAATCCACTTTGTTACGAGCATCACGCCAGCGCATCTGCATCCTTCTCGGGATAATCCTTCTTACAACAGCCCCATATCGCAAATCAACCTCATCATCAAGGAACACAAACAACAAATCTTTCTGTAACCACAAAAAGAGCACCACGAAACAAACCACCAATAGGGTCAAGACAAGTGTGCACACAGGTAGACACAGGCGTGCCATACTGTCCGAGCAGCCATCATAAGATACATGTGTGCACTTACGGAAATATGTGTGAGCCGTATTGGACAGAACAGCGGGATACGCCAACCACCGTAATCAGGTTCAGCCTCCAGCCTTCGAAGGAATGCCCGTGCCCCCATAGCACCACCACCCTTGGCATTTGTACCACGACCCCCATGCAGCAGTCCACCCTCACCCTGAGGTTGATCACCTACACAATGCATTACACCAAACAAGAACAAAAAATCACGCAATTAGAAACGCAGAGGCCATATTAAAAAAATTATAAGGAAATAAAGAATGCAGCAGCCAGAAACTAATCAACTAAACCCACTAAACCAAGATGGCACAAACAAACAGCAAATGTGCACCCACCATATACCAAATAATCTTTTTAAGTATCTTAGATCTTAGATTGTAAATGCTAATAATTTTTCAATGGTTTCACAAGATAGAATTGAAGGTTCTGATCCTAACTTTACGTAACAGAAATATAATTGATAAAAAAAATGATAAATTAAGCATATTACCGACTATGACTATCAAAATATACAATAAACAGTAGATGGTGACTGCTAAGTTCAAATCTTTCTATCTCTGCTTGTTGATAGATTTCGTTATCTTGAAGGTTGTAGTCTAGGCTAGCACAGTAAAAAAACACCAAAATCAAACTAAAAAAACCCCACACTAGCATCAACCACTGACGAAGTGAAGAACCCAACAAATCAAACAATTACACAACAAATCAGAAGAAAAAAACACACAAAAGGCTCAAGAATCCGAAAAAAAAAAAAAAGAAAAGAAGAGGCAGTGTTGAACTGGAATTCCATTTCAGTGCTGCACTGGAATTCTAGAATTTCATTCCAGTGCTGCACTAAAATTTCATTCCAATTCCAGTGCAAGCACTGGAATGAAATTCGAATTCCAGTGCTTGCACTAGTATTTCAATATTGGAAAAAAACAAACAAAAAAACAAAACAAAACAAAAATTTCATTGCCAAATAACTCAAATGCAATGTTCAAGCTTCAACTCAATCAAGGCTAGAAAATAAAAATCAACGCAGAAATCAAGCAATTGTCACTTTTTCAGTCTTCTTCGACACTCAAGGCAGCCAAGGCTCAAGCAATTAGAAATCAAAAATCAAAATTTCTAGATTCGAACTTGGAGAAAAAAAAAAAAAGAGGGAGAAAACCGACCTGGAGTAGCGGTCGACCGCCGTGGGCGCTTAGGGTTCTGACCTTCGGTGCCGGTCATCTCAGAGGAAGCTTCGATCACAGGGACGACGTTGGGGACTTCGATCGGGCAAGACGACGTTGGGTAAGTTTTTTGAAAACAACCTACGAGCCTACAAAGCAATCCAAGGAGTACGCGAAGAGCTTCAGCGTCCGGAGCGAAAATTCAGCACAAATATAGGCAATTCAATTACCTACACGTGCGCGCCTGCACTGACCATACTACCCCTAGCCGCCCAAATCACACCCAATCTACCGTAAAAAATAAAGTTTAATAAAAAAAAAACATACACCTTAGATTGGTTTAAATGAACGGCTTAGATTAGTTCTCATGTTCTTATCTAACAATGAGTTCCTATACGATTGTTAATCTATATGTATATATATATATATATATATATATATATATATATATATATATATATATATATATATATATATATATATATATATATAAACATGAAATCTAATACGAAAGTTAGAATAGGTAAATGTTTAGTACAATTTTAAATATAAAATAAAAATAATTATTTTTGATATAATCAAAATGTTTATTTTAAAAAATTGATTAATCAATTATTCATATTAATTGTTTAATCAAATCAAGCAACTATAATAGTGATTGAATACATCAAAATTGACTGATAAGCTAACTTTGTTACTAAACATGAACTTCAATTCATCATTTAATTTGTACAAACCAAACATGTCTATGTAAATATCTATGATCTTTTGAGGCTAAACCAATTATTTACACCATGTTGAAAACAAGATAGCATGAAACAAAGTCTCATTATATATAAACATTTTTTTTTTGGGTAAGGATACACTTATTTTTAATTGTTAAGCTAACTACGAATTTGAGAATTTCAATGTAATTTCTTGTTAATCCGACTTCAGTTTCGCATATGATTTTAATACTATAATGTTGCTATCAGAGACGGAGCCAAAGGAGGGGGGTAGGGCGAAAGCTGCCCCCCCCCCCCCCCCCCTCATCCCACCCCCACCCCATATATAATTTTTGTATGTATATATGTATATATAGTACATGTCTTAGTATTAGTAAAATAAAACTATTAAATGTTTACAAGGGTTGATTTAGATGAGTTGGTTGAGCACATGTTAAGTTATTATGATAAAGGATAGGGTTCAAATCTTGGCATTAATATAGTTTTATAGTTGGCTTCCCTGGTTGCTATCATTAGGGTACAGAGACCAATGATATCACATTTTATATTAATGTTGTGCCATACCAACATTAGGTACTTGAAATTGTACTAACTTCATATTTACCAATAATAATTTTATATTTAAAGATGCAATATAATTTTAAATTTCTTTTTAAATTTAAATTTTTACACTTATATACCATGCTTTCAAAATTTTCATAAATTTTGGTCGAATTCCTTTTTTAAGAAAACTACAACTTTCAATTGAAATATTTATTTCAACAAAATTAAAAATAAATTTAATTTATCTTATAAAATATCTCAAAATATCACTAGGAATATATTGGTCTTCATTATGGACAGTGACATTGTAGAAAAGAGGGAGCGATCATTCGACCATTAACGATTCCATCGCCATAGCGCGACAGACATATAGGGAGTCGCATTTTCTGTCGCCAATGTGTCAACATATTGGCGACGGAATTGATTTTGTCATTGCATTTTGTACCAAAAATAAACTTTACTTAAAAAAATTTATTATTTCAGTGACGGAATGAACGGTCGTCGTATGTTCCGTCGCCAACCTCAAACGTCAAATCTACCGCTGTACCAAACATCACAACAGAATTAATTTTCGTTGCCGATTCCATCGTCATAGCGCGACATACATATAGGGAGTCGCATTTTCTGTCGCTAATGTGTCAACATATTGGAGACGGAATTGATTCTGTCGTTTCATTTTGTAGCAAAAATAAACTTTACTTCAAAATA